TTGGTGCCCTAATGTTGGCCCAAAGTGCTTCACTGTCTACGGGGTACTTATGAACGGGGCTAATCATAAATAATGTTGAATAAATAATAAGGTTGCAAAATGGATTACAAAAATATAACCAAATAGCATAGAATAAAAAATACGTTGATAAAACGAAAATGGAAAAATCTAACAGCAAATGAGCGTAAATCAAAAATTAGAGATAGGTATAATCTAAAATTATATGAAGAAGTAGATCCCTAAGAATATAAATGTGAACAATTTGCTATAAATGTGACCTAGCGAAATTGAATTTTCTCCGAAAAGAATGTCCAACGTATATAGAATAAGAGGGCTCACTATTTTGTAGGCACTGGCTTATCGATACCCCGAGCTAATACGTAAATGTCACAACCGGACGTTTGTACGGAAACAGAACGAGACGATTCACGAAACGGAGGACGGGTTGTATTGATATGACTTGCAGAGCAAGAGAGAGATACGGAAGCGTGAGCAAGCGTGCGGAAAGCAAAAGCAAACACGTGCTGACCAAAGAGGTGGCCTTGGTGTAATAAAATGGTGAAATGCACAGAAAGATGAGTACATGTAGAAGGATATTTGGTTGGTACTTAAAACAGCGAGAAAAGATTCAAGTCCGGCAAACGCTGTAAGTAGCTCTTTTCTACTTGTCCAGCGACCATTCTGTTTGTCAATCGTTGTGCCCCCTCTAGACACTCCATATCTTTGCAGTATTCTAGCAGTGGACGCACCATTGTTATGTACAGTGGAACAAACACTTCTACCTTCCTGCAAGTAATTGTGGTTCACAGTCTGGAAAGTAATCCTCTTGTATTATTTACAACCACCTGACATTGCCTAGCAGGCCGGAAGTCCTTTGTAACGATTATTCCTAGGTCTTTGATCTTTGTCATACCTCGTAGCGCTGAGCACTCGGTTGAGTCTACATTAGTAGTCGGTAGCTGACAGTTGGCAACATTCAGGAGTAAATCCCATCGAGCCGATCAGCTCTAGACCTCATCTACTTCTTGTGTTAAATTCTCATCCACTATCTTCACATTGCCCACA